CCTGTGGAACACCACAGGTGAGCTCTCTTTTGGCCAAGCTACTGTCCCTGAGCAGCACCCTCTAGGACCTTCATGAGAGGAAGGACCGGAACCACTGCAAAGCAGTGCCTCCGATACCCAACCCCCTCAGGCGGTCCAAGAGGATGCCATGATCTATTGTATCAAAGGCTGCTAAGAGGTCTAGGAGCACCAACAGGGTCACACTACCCCTGTCGATGCTTAGACGCAGATCGTCGATCAAGACAACCATGGCAGTCTCAACCCGAAAGCCTGTCCTGAAGCCAGTTTGAAATGGGTCTAGAAATCAGTTACATCCAAGACAACTTGGAGTTGAAGGGCCACCGCCCTCTCAAACACCTTGCTCAAAAATGGTAATAAAGAGACTGGTCTATAATTATATAGGGGGTCCAGGGAAGGTTTTTTCAGAAGCGGCCTAATGGACGCTTCCTTTTAACATGATGGAATATGTCCTTCCCTGAAGGACGCGTCGATGATGTCCGTAAGGAACCTCCTCAACGCATCCACCCCCTGGACGGCCAGCCATGATGGGCAAGGGGCGAGAGGACAAGTTGTGTTCCTCACACTACCAAGAAGCTTGTCCATGTCATCAGTACTCAGAGATTGCAGCTGATCCAGTATAATTACATCGGCGGAGTCGCTGGACATCTTGTCTATACTTTCTGTTAAAACCTTGGCATCTAAGATGGCTCTTATCTTATAGATTTTATCTGCAAAGAAGTTGTTAAATGCGTCACAGCAGGCTGTCATCGGGTTAAGTAAGGGATTTGGCGCAGGAAGTACCTGCATCAGCTCCCTCACCACCCTAAACAGCTCTGCTGGACGAGACTCTGCAGACGCAATACGTACAGAGGAGAAAGATCTCTGAACTGCAGGTATTGCCTCCCGATAGGACCAAAGATGGTTCCTGTGGCGAGTTCTGTCGGATAAGAGTCGAGTCTTCTGCCATTCACGCTGTAGTCGTTGTCCAACCCCCTTCATTTTTCTAAGCTCCGGTTTATACCAAGGCTTACGATTTTGAGCGGGGTGGCAAGGATGCTTGGGAGTGATCTTGTCGATAGCCTTGGTCAGATCGATGTTCTGGGTATTGACCAGAGTCTCAACAGGGCTGCCGGCATTTCCAACCATCAAACCCTCCAAGGCTTTCTGGAATCCAATTGGTTCTATTAGCCTTCAAGGGCGGACCATTCTAATAGGTCCACCATCCCTGGTGAGGCGGATCAAGACTCTCAGTTTCGTCTTGACCGGGAAATGATCCATCCACGACAAGGCGGTGGTTGCAATGACCTCTGCCCACAGATATTCCTGTTCCGTACTTAAGACCACATCGAGTTTATGACCCGCACAATGTGTGGGCCCGTTGACCAGTTGGGATAGGCCCATGTTAGTCATGGTCTCCATGAACTCCCGAGCTGCACCTATTAAACTGGTCTGGAATGAGATGTTGAGGTCTCCCAAAACTAAAAGTCTGGAGGACTCCAACAGCAACTATGAGACCAGTTGCGTCAGCTCGGTTAGGGAATCTGCTAAACAATGGGGTAGTCGGTATACTAGCAGAATCTCCAAATTATCCCTGGTCCTCAGGCTAAGGTACATACACTCAAAGTGGACTGTGT